AAAAAAAAAAAAAGAAGAAGAAGAATAGGAAGGCTCAGCGCTTGTAGCTCAGCGGCTAGGGTGCCAAACACATATACCAGAGCTGGTGGGCTCGAATCCAGCCCGGGCCTGGAAAACAACAATGACAACTACAACCCGCATTCTGGTGGGTGCCTTAGTCCTCGCTACTTGGGAGACTGAGGCAAGAGAATCACTTTAGCCAAAGAGTTTGAGGTTGCTGTGAGCTGTGACGCCATGGCACTCTACCCAGGGAGACAGCTTGAGACTCTGTCTCAAAAAAAAAAAAAAAACAAAAAAAAACACTTAGTTTTGTTTTTAAGACATTATTTCATAGTCATTCTTTATTGCACTAAAATAAAACCATTCTTAAGAAAAGCTCAAAAAGACTTTAAGAGATTTAGTTGTTATTAAAGAACTCATGGTGATTTTAATTTATGCCTTTGTTATTGTCAGAGCCCCAATCTTAACATGGGGAAATATTTATAAGGCATAAGTATAACCAAATAAGAGATACATTCACAGCTTTCTCCCCCTGTGAACAGCAACAGTTTCCAATCACACTAATTTCATCAGCTTTGGCAAAATATGTATTTGTTACCAATTCTTGTTGCTGAGCAACTTCTCACCTTGTAAGTAACCAAAATAAAAGAACTCAGGATTTTTTCCTTATAATGTACATGCCTGTCCAATGATGGGTCAAGACTCATTCTTTAAAAATGATGTTACTGTTACTTCCGAAAGACTAAATTTTACTTCTACAATCAATACACAAGAAAGGCATGTATGAACATCAGGAACAAAGAGAAGAAATTCAATTTTTCACATCATTCTGCCAGGTTTTTTTTAATCATTTGACAGAAATTTTCTATGTATTCTAATTCCTTAATACTCACCCTGTCACAAGTCAGACACTGCACTGAGCTAATGATTGTTCCATCAAATATGTCTGAAATAACACTTCTATATTTCTTGTGCTGCTTTTTTCTCTTTGGAGATGTAGACTGAGCTAGGATTAAAAAACAAGTATACAACATTTGAAACCAATCACAGTATGTCCTTTAACCTTTTTCTCTAGTAAACATTACTGCCCTGATGGATAATTTTCAAAATATCATTCAAAACAAAAAAATCATGGGCGGTGCCTATGGCTCAGTAGGTAGGGCCCCATATACCGAGGACAGTGGGTTCGAACCTGGCCCTGGCCAAACTGCAACAAAAAAAGAAAAAAAAAATTCAGAGAAACCAAGTAGACAAGGTTTAAGATGCTATTTTGTTTTGCTTTTTTTCCCAAGTATATATGATCACCAGCCCGGACCAGCTAAACAACACTAACAACTACAACCAAAAAGTAGCCAGGTGGTGTGGTAGGTGTCTGTAGTCCCACCTACTTGGGAGGCTAAGGCAAGAGAATTGCTTAAGCCCAAAAGTTGGAGGTTGCTGTGAGCTATGATGCCACCACACTCTACCAAGGGCAACATAGTGAGACTGTCTCAAAAAAAAAAAAAAGAAGCTAAAGATGAAATAAGAGGAGCTCAGTCTCCCTATAGTGACTTCAGAGTAATTCTGCTTTTACCTATTTATTTGTCTTCGGTCTCAAGGCTTAATTTGAAGAAAGAATCACAGTAAGTTATAAGAGCTCTTTATATACTTCTAGATACAAGTCCATTGTTCATTATGTAATTTGTCACTATTTCCTCCCTATCTTATCTTCTCATTCTCTTAACAATGTCCGCCAAGAAAAGTGTTTAATGTTTTTCTTTTAGGGCCAGACATGGTGGCTCACGCCTATAATCCTAGCACTCTGGGAGGCCAAGGTGGGTGGACTGCCTGAGCTAGAGCAGACCCTGTCTCTAAAAGTAGTGACATTGTGGGAGCTACTCGAGAGGCTGAGGCAAGAGAATCGCTTGAGCCCAAGAGTTTAAGGTTGCTATGAGCTATGACACCACGGCGCTCTACTGAAGGCAAAAAAGTAAGAGTCGGTCTCCGAAAAAAAACGTTTTTCTTTTGTGAATCATGCTTTTGATGTCTTTGATGTCCTTAAGAATTCTTGGCCTAACCCAAGGTCATGAAGGCTTTTGCTATGTTTTCTTCTAAGAGATTCATAGTTTTACACTCTATAATACTGGGACCCTCATACCAACTGCAGGAACACAAAATGGTATTGACAAGTCTGTAAAAGTCTGTCAGCTTCACACAATGTTAAGCATAAAATGAACATAAAACTGAGCAAACCCAAATCTAAGCATCTGTCCTAGACAAATGAAAACTTACATCCTTACAAAACCTGTCCATGACTATTTAGAGCAGCATTATTCATAACTGGCAGAAATCGGAAACAATTTAAAAGTCTTTCAATGAGGTGGTGCCTGTAGCTCAGTGGGTAGGGCACGAGCCACACACACCCAGGCTGGTGGGTTCAAACCTGGCCCAGGCCAGCTAAATAACAATGACAACTGCAACAAAAAAAATAGCCAGGTGTTGTAGTCCTATAGTCCCAGCTACTTGGGAGGCTGAGGCAAGAGAATTGCTGAAGCCCAAGAGTTTGAGGTGGCTGTGAGCTGTAACCCATAGTACTCTACTGAGGGCGACATAGTGAGACTCTGTCTCAAAAGAAAAAAACAAACAAAGAGTCTTTCAATGAGGGGAATGAACGAATAGCAGTAGAGCCATATAATGAAATACTACTCAGTAATAAAAAGGAACAAACTATTCCGACATGCAGTACCATGACTGACTCTCAAACGCATTATACTAAGTGAAGGAAGCCTGCTTCAAAAGACTGTGACTCCATCTACAGGACACTCCAGGAAAAGGCACAACAAAAGGGAAAGAGGACTACCTGCAGGGGGTGCGGTTGGGGTGATGGGCTGATTAGAACCAGCACCAGGGAATTCTTTGGGGGGTTAGAATCCTGCTGCATTCTGTTTGTTACAGTAAGAAGAATTTATTCATTCATGTGTTAAAATACTACACAAGAAAAAAAGAACTGTATTTAAATTTTTTAAAATTGAGAAAGAACATGCACCCATGGTGTATAAAATTATGCTGTCCATTTTATTTATTTTTATTATTACTTTTTTAAAGATAAAGTCTCGGCTCGGCGCCTGTGGCTCAAGCGGCTAAGGCGCCAGCCACATACACCTAAGGTGGCGAGTTCGAATCCCCAGCCCGGACCCGCCAAGCAACAATGATGGCTGCAACCAAAAAATGACCAGGTGTTGTGGCGGGCGCCTGTAGTCCCAGCTACTTGGGAGGCTGAGGCAGGAGACTCGCTTGAGCCCGGGAGTTGGAGGTTGCTATGAGCTGTGATGCCATGGCACTCTACCCAGGGGGATAGCTTGAGGCTCCGTCTCAAAAAAAAAAAAAAAAAAAAAAATATAAAGAAAAAGTCTCACTTTGTTGCCCTTGGTAGAGAGCTGTGGCATTACAGCTCCCAACAACCTCCAGCTCTTGAGCTTAGGCGATTCTCTTGCCTCAGCCTCCTGAGTAGCTGGGACTACAGTGCCCGCCACAACGCCTGACTATTTTTGGTTGCAGTTTGGCCAGGGCTGGGTTTGAACCCTCCACCCTCAGTATATGGGGCCGTCATTCTACTCACTGAGCCACAGGCGCTGCCTATGCTGTCAATTTTAAAGAAGCAAATATTTCATGAATAACACTTCAAATCATCAAATATTAAAATCAATATTGTAAACTAAGACCCAAAGCAAAGAAGCTTAAAGAAGGGAAATTTTTTACCTTTTTTGTGTGGGGGTGCCAATCCTGGCCACAGACTGCCTGATTTAGGAGGGCTTGCTGATAAACGTGCATTAACACTTTCATTTGATGGCAGGATCTGTGGTGTAGACAGGTCATTCAAATGGACGTCAGTGATATACTCTGGAATACATAAAATCTGTATTATTATCTTAAATAGTAAAATTATTCTACCTTTCCAATAATTAACTAATTTAAAGATTTCTTAGTTACGCATTTTGAACACAATTCACATTAACAAATGTCAGCTGAAATACTTCACAAAGTACTTGATAAGGGAAATGATTTTACATCTAGGAATCCAATCAATACTTATGACACACCACTATCATAGACAATAAAGGAAACGAGTGATGGAATACAAAACCAAAGACAATCTTGTTTGTCCAAATATAGTTACTTTTTTTAAAAAAAAGATATTCAGGACACTTTTTAAATGGTTTTAAAACTATGTGGGAGAAAGACAGATTATTCTCCTAAACTAACACAGTAATAAAAATCATACAAAAGGCTGGGTGAAGTACTTCACGCCCATAATGCTGGTACTTTGGGAGGAGGGGGAAGGATCACTTGAGACCAAGAGTTTGAGACCAGCCTGGGCAACATAATGAGACTCTGTCTCTAAAAAAATAATAATAATAATAAAATAAGCCAGGCAAGGTGGCACACGCCTGAGGCAAGAGGATCACTTGAGCCCAGGAGTTTGAGGCTACAGTTAGCTAAATGGTACCACTGCATTCCAGCCTGGGAAAATCCAGGTTTTGGTTGGGGGGGGGGGATCAAACAAGAAATTGAGGTATATCCCTATAAATATATGCAACTATTTTTTTTTTTTTTGGTAGAGACAGAGTCTCACTTTGTTGCCCTTGGTAGAGTGCCATGGCGTCACACAGCTCACAGCAACCTCCAACTCCTGGGCTTAAGCGATTATCTTGCCTCAGCCTCCTGAGGAGAGGAGACTATAGGCTCCTGCCACAACGCCCGGCTACTTTTTGGTTGTAGTTCAGTCAGGGCCAGGTTCGAACCGGCCACCCTCAGCATATGGGTCCTGCGCCCTTCTCACTGAGACAGTCTCACTATGGCACCCTGACTAGAATGCTATGGCATCACAGCACTTAGCAACCTCAAACTCTTGGGCTTAAGCAATTCTCTTGCCTCAGCCTCCCAAGTAGCTGGGACTACAGGCGCCCGCCACAATGTTGGGCTATTTGTTGCTGTTGTTGTTGTCATTGTTATTTAGTTGGCTCAGGATGGGTTCGAACCTGCCAGCCCAGATGTATGTGGCTGGTGCCCTAACCACTGAGCTATGGGCACCGAGCTTGCAACTGCTATATACCCATAATAATTTTTAAAATAAAAGAAATGTAGATAAAAATTAATAAGTTGTAGGCTCGGCACCTGTAGCTCAAGTGGCTAGGGCACCAGCCACATAAACTGGAGCTGGCGGGTTCAAATCCAGCCTGGACCCGCCAAACAAAGACAAATATAACCAAAAAATAGCCAGGCGTTATGGAGAGCACCTGTAGTCCCAGATACTTGGGAGGCTGAGGCAAGAGGATCACTTAAGCTCAAGAGTTTGAGGTTGCTATGAGCCATGGCACTCTACCCAGGGCAACATCTTTAGACTCTGTCTCAAAAAAAAAAAAAAAAAAATGGATAAGCTGTTTTATTCTTATTGTGATAAAAGAAAATACATACTTTCATCAGCAAAGGACATTTTTAAGATTTAAATTACAGGATGAGGCAAGATGCCCATAGCTCAGTGGTTAGGGCACCGGCCACATGTTCCAGGGCTGGTGGGATAGAACTTGGCCCAGGCCTGCTAAACAAAAAAGAAAAAAATAGCCAGGTGTTATGGCAGGCAGCTGTAGTCCCAGCTACTAGGGAGACTGAAGCAAGAGAATCACTTGAGCCCAAGAGTTTGAGATTGCTGTGAGCTGAGATGCCACAGCACTCTACCAAGGGTGACAAAGTGAGGCTCTGTCTCAAATAAATAAATAAATAAATAATAAAACATATTAAGCTAAAATAAGTTAACCCTTGAAGATATAGGTACACAAAGCAATTTAAGTCAAATGTCTTTCATCTGGCTACTCACTCTTTTTCAAAGAAACACGAACTAGTACATTACGGCATAATCTATTACATCAAGGTTCCTCATAATATTGATTTATTTGTTTTTGAGACAGAATCTTGCTCTGTCACCCTGGGTAGAGTGCAGTGGCGTCATCATAACTCATTGTACCTCAAACTCTTGAGCTCAAGCAATCCTCTTGCTTCAGCCTCCCAAGTAGCTGGAACTATAGATGGGCACCGCAATACCTGGTTAATTTTCCTATTTTTTAGTAGAGATTGGGTATCACTCTTGCTCAGGTTGGTCTCTAACTCCTGGGCTTAAGTGATCCTCCCAGTTTAGCCTCCCAGAGTGCATGGATTACATACATGATTACGGTGTCATTAAACTCCTACTAAAACACATCTGATGTGACTCCAATTACAGCAATCTAAATGTAGTATGTACATAATTAAAAATTATAATTTAAGCTATTTCAGTTCTTTCTGGTTATTCAAAATAACTCACATAATGTAAAAGGGAACATGGGGCGGCACCTGTGGCTCAGTAACTAGGGCCCCGGACCCATATACTAAGGGTGGAGGGTTCAAACCTGGCCCCAGCCAAACTACAACAAAAAAATAGCCGGGTGTTACAGCAGGCACCTGTAGTCCCAGCTGCTCAGGAGGCTGAGGCAAGAGAATCACCTAAGCCCAAGAGCTGGAGGTTGTTGTAAGCTGTAATGCGACGGCACTCTACCAAGGGCAACAAAGTGAGACTCTGTCTCTTAAAAAAAAAAAAGGCAAATAAAGATAAATAAATTTCAAAAACAAAAAAAGTAAAAGGGAACATTCTGAAAACCCCACCTAAAAAAAATTTTTTTTGAGAAAGAGTCTCAGTTGTCACCCTCCACAGAGTGCCATGGCATCATCATACCTCATAGCAACCTCAAATTCTTGGGCTCAAGTGATTCTCTTGCCTCAGCCTCCCAAGTAGCTGGGACTACAGGTACCTGCCACCACACTGGCCTATTTTTAGAGACAAGGTTTCGCTCTTGCTCAGGCTGGTCTCAAACCTGTGAGCTCAGGCAATCCACCCACCTCGGCCTCCTAATGCTGGGATTACAAGGATGAGCCCCTGCACCCAGACTCTCTCTATGTATTTTTTGAGACAGGGTGTCACTCTGTCACCTAGGCTAGAGGGCAGTGGTGTCATAGTTCACTGCAACCTCAAATTCTTGGGTTCAAGCAATCCTCCTGCCTCAGGCTCCCAGGCAACTAACCCTGCCACAGTTCAAAGGGGGATGATGTAGTCCAGCTATTCACAAGGTTGAGGCAGGAGAAATGCTTGAGTCCAGGAATTTGAGGCTGTGGTGAGCTGTGAGCAGGCTATCATACTCCAACCTGGGCAACAGAGTAAGACCATGTCTTTTAAAATAGATAAATAAGAAATCCCCAAAGTAATAATTATATAAACAGCAATTGTCTACAAATGAATACTATCGTTTTCATAATTAAATTATTAAATTGTCACCTGAAGCTCTGCCGTGTATTTGCACTTTGACAGTTTCCTGGTTGTTCAGGTCAACTGCTTCAGATGCAGAGTCTCTATCTTTATCTAAATCTCCTTCAGAATTTATTTTATTAATCTTATTACAGATCTTCTCTTTTTGCCAATCTTTTGATATCTCTGAATTGTTCTCATCATCCTGAATTAACATTGTTGTTTCATTATTATCTTCAGAAAAGCCTCTAGAGCCATTTTCATTTTCTGCTTTATCACTGCTGCTGCAAGATTCACAGGACTGAAAATCTACGTCCGACTGGCTCTTGTCTTCCTCCATGGTCTCCTCGGTGGTTATGGTTTGAGGATCTTCCTCAACATCCATGACCTGCTCTTTCAGTTCTTCATGAAGCAGATCCATTAAACATCGAAGGAATTCTTGAGCATCCTAATTTATCAGCAACATAACATTATCACTGCATTACATGTGTATACAGAAACTTAAGGGAAAATATACAAAATATGGTTATCAACTAATTTACAAATCTGATGCACCATACTGAGGAACATCAGTTTATAAAAATAAAGTGCCAGAGGGATGGGATACACTAATTTCTAAAAAGAAGTTTGTTTGTTTGTTTTTTAGAGAGATAGAGTCTCAATATGTCACCCTCAGTAGAGTGCCATAGCATCACAGCTCACAGCAACCTCAAACTCTTGGGCTCAAGCGATTCACTTGCCTCAGCCTCCCAAGTAGCTGGGACTACAGGCACCTGCCACAATGCCCGGCTATTTTTTGTTGTTGTAGTTGTCATTGTTGTTTAGCAGGCCTGGGCTGGGTTTGAACCCACCAGCCCCAGTATGCGGCCAGTGCCCTAACAACTGAGCTACGGGTACTGAGCCTCTAAAAAGACATTTTTTTTATTTATTTATTTTTGAGACAGAGCCTCAAGCTGTTGCCCTGGGTAGAGTGCCATGGCATCACAGCTCACAGTAACCTCCAACTCCTGGTCTTAAGCGATTCTCCTGCCTCTGCCTCCCAAGGAGCTGGAACTACAGGCGCCCACTACAACGCCCAGCTTTTTTTTTTTTTTTTGGTTGCAGCCGTCATTGTTTGACAGCCTGGGCTGGATTCGAACCCACCAGCTCAGTTGTATGTGGGGCTGGCGCCTTAGTTACTTGAGCCACAGGCGCCGAGCCTAAAAAGACGTTTTAATAAACTGAAGATGATCTAGAAGTCAGCCTTTAGGAGTGTTGCTATTCATAAACTGGAAGGACAAAGAGAAAAAGATGTGCCTTGTGTGGCAATCAGAATTCGGACAGATATCCTAAATTAAAATAGTTTACTACTACAGCTTAAATTAAAGCTTCACCCAATCTTGTACTGTATTTCAAGAAAAAATCTTCATCAACCTGGAATACTTACTGAAAATACATATTTCTGGCCCCAACTCATACCACAAAATCATAACCTTTAAAGATCCAAGAATTCATATAGGAAAAAAATGAACAGATAATATGTGATAGGTTAAAAAAGAGAAAGAAAAATGTATGAAGACAAGGTACTAACATCAAAAGATACTACATAAAAATTGCAATAACTAAAAGCACCATATCATACTAGTGCAAAAAGACAAGTCAATGAAATGAATGGGAAAGCCCAGAAAAAGATCCTATCACATACTAACATAAGAATGAAATAATTAACAATGAAAATTTAAATCAGATTGGAAGATAATTCTTATAATTTTAGACTTTGGCTCAATTTCTTAGCTGTTTATGAAGAACAAAAATGAAATCTGAATGATATTACAATATGAAACAGATGCCAGACGTACTGAATAATTAAGTAAATGTAAAAGATGAAAGCATAAAATACAGAAAATATAAGTAAAAATTTCCAATCTCTGAACATGGAACTCAAAACTAAAAGCATTAAAAGAAATATTTACCCACCCCTAAATATAAACATTTTTAGAAAAATATTTATAAAACTAAAAGAAAGCTAGAAACATAAAAATAAAAATAACAAGTGACTATTCCTAATAATAAGGAATAATGACATCAATGAAAGGCACAACAGCATTTTCCAAATTTATTTAAGATTATTAAAATTATGAATGAACAGCAATAGACTAACCTGCTGAGAATACCCCCGAAATGTCGGATTTACAGTTTTAATTCCTTGAAACAGATTTGTGGGCACAACAGATCCTGGCCTGAAAAAGAAAGTATTTTAAAAGAGCAATTCTTGTGATTTTTAATTTTGTTTTAAAAGTTACCAAGCAAGAATTCAAACTGCTATATAAATTGAAAACTGTTTATTTTTCAAAAGAATTATTCAAATCTGCCCAGTATTGTATTTCTTAGGCCACTGAGAACTTCTTACCACTGATATTTTAAGTGATATTTTATTGTTTTTCTTTCCCAAATGATCATGCTCCTCTGTATGATTTTTTAAAAATGCAATTTCCCAAATGGTTTTGGTTTTTCATTTTGTTTTGTTTTTGAGACAGAATCCAACTTTGTTGCCCTCGGTAGAGTGCCATGGCATCACAGCTAACTGCAACCTCCAACTCTTGGGCTTAAGTGATTCCCTTGCCTCAGCCTCCTGAGTAGCTGGGACTACACATGCCCACCACAATTTCCAGCTATTTTTTGTTGCAGTTATCACTGCTGTTTTAGGTGGTTGGGGCTGGATTTGAACCCACCACCCTTGGTATATGGGGCTGGCACCCTACCCATAGAGCCACAGGCACCACCCTCCAAAATGTTTTTTAAACAAAATTATTAACCTCAAACTCTTAGGACTATAAGGCCTACATCACAACATCCAGCTAGCTTTCTTTCTTTTTTTTTTTTTTTAAGTAAAGATGGGGTCTCACTCTTACTCAGGCCGGTCTTAAACTCCTGAGCTCAAGGAATCCACCCAACTCAGTCTTCCAGAGTGCTAGGATTATAGCCATGAGCTACCATTCCCGGCTGGGGTCTGATTTTAGTATTGTAAGAAAGCCTACTCCTGCATTAAAACTCCAAAGCTTTCATAACAGCAGCCGTAGCAGTTCTACACTACACTATCAGCCCAAATACTTTTTTCTTTCTGTGAGACAGTCTCACTTTGTCACCTTTAGTAGAGTGCTGTGGCATCACAGCTCATAGCAACCCTCAGACTCTTGGGCTCAATTGATTTTCTTGCCTCAGCCTCCTCAGTAGCTTGGACTACAGGCGCCGGCCACAACACTCAGCTATTTTTAGAGAGGGAGTCTCGATCTTGCTTAGGCAGGTGCTGGGATTATAGGCATGGCATGAGCCTCTGCACCAGGCCAGCCCAAACACATCTAAACTTCACAGACCTCTTCATTTGGATGTTCAGTTTCAAACGTAATATGCATGAAACAGAAATAAACTACCTCAAACCTGTCTCTTTCACTTTCAGCTCTATAAATAGACCTGAATCCTTTTAATATTTATAATAGTTAAACTATAATAAAGAAGATAAATATAGTAGGTACATACCTGCTTTTATGCCACAGTTCTGTCATTAGCTTGAGATAACTTTTACAAATGGCTGGTTTCTTATCTGTTCGAGCTAGTCCTCCACAATCAAGGAAAAACTGTGTCAAAGGCGGGCTAATTTAAAGAAGAGAAAATGTTAGAGTGGAATCAAAGTTTAATAACGATTAGTTCCGCGTCCTTAAACGAAGCGACAGCATCTGTATCCCTGTGTCTTAGTCCTCTGCCAGCTTTACAGCTCCACCTTCACTTCTCCACAGTCTTGTGGAGCTCAACACATTCGAATCAGATTTGACCTCATCACATATATCAGAGTTCTCCATGCTGCCACATCCAGTTAATACCTTTGTTGATATCATTCAAAATGCTCTAACATTTTGAGTGCTGACATGATAAAGGAAATGCTCATTGGAGCATTTCAAATTTTGGATTTTTGGACTAGGCACTGATGTTCAACTGGTAAGTATAATACAAATATTTGATAATCTGAAAAACATCCCAACCACTTCTGGTCCCAACACTTCAGATAAGGGATGCTTGACATGTATACATATGTTCAGCTCCCAGCCACTGCTCTAAAATTCAACCCAGTAAAAAAGTCAATGTTAAAGTTAGTGATTTCTGAATTCTGGTCCTGACCCAATGCATCTAATCTCTAAGAGTATTAACACCTGAGTGACCTATCTCTTTTGTATGGCTACTATGAAAAAAAGAAAAATTTGAATACTTAATTAGAAGCTTTCCACCCACAGAAAAATATAAAATATTTCCACAGGATCTCCAAACCAAAGGTGATCTGAAGAATTAATTAGTTCAAGCTCCTTGTTTTCTAGATTTAAAACACAAAATTACTTGCCTAAAGACATATAACTACCTAAGGTCTAAGCCAGGACCAGTAACCTCAAGAAGGTATAAGTATACAGAGTAAACCCCATTGAGACAACAGTGGGTCATGTCCCAAACCAGACTGTCACTGACTTTACTTTTAAAGTAGTCAACTACTACAGTAGTATGGTTTTTGGCTCAAAAACTAAAACTAAAATTTATATAAAAAAAGGCTCAGCACCCACTGCTCAGTGGTTAGGGTGCCGGCCACATCCACTAGGGCAGACGGGTTCAAACCCAGCCCACCCTACTAAACAATGACAACTACAACAATAACAAAAAAAATAACCAGGTGTTCTGGCAGGTGCCTATAGTCCCAGCTACTTGGGAGGCTGAAGCAAGAGAATCACTTAAGCCCACAAGTTTGAGGTTGCTGTGAGCTGTGATGCCACAGCACTCTACCAAGGGAGACATACTGAGACTGTCTAAAAAAAAAAAAAAGTCATATAAACAAAATTAATTTCTCTACTTACCAATTAGAAAGAGCCTGCAAAGCTGCATTCATGTAACAAGTATTTCCAATATTTTTCAAACCTGTAAGACCTATTAAGAAAAAGTACAAATGAAGTCATCATTCAATAATACAAGATGAGGCAATTTGGGGGGGGTGAACACTCTGGTTCCCCAAACTACATTAAGGACCAAAGAGACACAATATAGTCACCTGAACGACTCAAGAGAGGTCACACTTCCAGAAATCAAAATCACCAAATGATAATCACCAAAATTTTGAGCTTTAGATAAATTCAAGGATTACCTAATTCAACCTCTGAAATTTGCACAGCAAGACCAGCCTTCTCTATAATCATTTAACGAAGAACGGACATTTTTAAAGAGTACTAGTTGAGACTTGTATTTCTCATTATTGTAGAAACAAAGTTTAATTCTAATGTTTTTAACAAAGTTTAATTCTGATTTTCTAACAAAGTTCAATTATTCTGAGAATAGTTTAATGACAATGCAAAAAATCACATCATAGTACATGATAAGCTTCCTTTTCCTTCCCATTTCAATCTATGGCAGTGAAAGCAATATTTATTATGTTGAATCACAGAAAACTGCTGCTATTCAATCTATAAAACTGGCAATTTCATATGGTCCAAGCTAACGTAGGCAAGAAGTCATTGAAGGCCTGTTAACTTTTCCATCAGTTTACTGATGAAAAGATGAACTAACATATATGTCAAAAATAAAATTATAGGCTCAGTGCCCATAGCACAGTGGTAATGGCACCAGCCACATACACCCAGGCTGGTGGGTCTGAACCTGGCCCAGGACAGCTAAACAATGACAACTGCAACAATAACAGTAAAAAAGATTGCAGGGCGTTGTGATGGGTGCCTGTAGTCCTAGCTACTTGGGAGGCTGAGGCAAGAGAATCGCTTGAGCCTAAGAGTTTGAGGTTGCTATGAGCTGTCATGCACAGCACTCTATTGAGGGAGACATAATCAGACTCTGTCTCAAAAAAAAAAAAACTATAAACGCTATTTTTGTTTGTTTGTGACAGAGTCTCGCTCAGTCACCATGGGGTTGAGTGCCATGGCATTATAGCTCACAGCAACCTCAAACTCTTGGGCTCAAGCGATCATCTTGCCTCAGCCTCCCCAAGTAGCTGGGACTACAAGTGCCCATCACAACACCCAGCTATTTTTAGAAATAGGGTCTCATTCTCACTCAGGCTGATCTCTTAACTCCTGAGCTCAAGCAATCTGCCCGCCTTGGCCTCCCAGAGTGTTAGGATTACAGGCATGAACCACCTCAGCTAGCCTATAATGCTATTTGAATTTAGAGCAATTCAAAGAAAATTTAAACTTCTAAGAATCTCTGAAACGTAGTTGAATTAGCACTTGTTGACAAGTATCCAATAAATTTAATTGTGTAAGCCAAATTAATGGGCTACAACACAGAAATCATAAAGTACTTAGAAATTATCTCAAGTGGTTTAGTGCCTGTGGCTCAAGTGGCTAAGATGCCAGCCACATACACCTAAGGTGGCGGGTTGGAATCCAGCCTGGGCCCACCTCACAACAATGATGGCTGCAACCAAAAAATAGCTGGGCGTTGTGGTGGGCGCCTGTGGTCCCAGTTACTTGGGAGGTAGAGGCAGGAGACTCACTGGGGCCCAGGAGTTGGAGGCTGCTGTGAGCTGTCATGCCACAGCACTCTACCCAGGGGGACAGCTTGAGGCTCTGCCTCAAAAAAAAAAAAAAAAAAGAAAAAAAAAGTTATCTCAAGTAATGTTAAACTTATATCAAAGTGTTAATTTCCAGATAATTGCCTATACATACACTAAATATACATCTCACATACACTAAATATATACCTAATATCAAATGTAAAGCTGAAAACAGTTTATACTAAGAACTGTAGGCTTAACAAAATACAAAATATCCCAACAGACCAGTTCTCAATGTGGAGTTTAGGAGTGAGAGAGTGGATGGGCAACAAGGGAAAAGAATATCAAATCAAACACAAATCTTTTTCTAAATGAATGTTGCCCCTAAGAGATTCTACTAATAGGTTCTCACCAATCCCCATCACTGACAGGTTAAGAAGAGAAAAACTAGCTGAGAACCACTGTTCAAACAGATTTCAAAAACAGAGGTAAGCTTCTCGGCACCAGTAGCACAGTGGTTATGGTGCCAGCCACATGCACCGAGGCTGGCAGGTTCAAACCTGGCCGGAGCCAGCTAAACAACAATGACAACTACAACAACAACAACAAAAAGCTGGGTGTTGTGGCAGGCACCTGTAGTCCCAGCTACTTGGGAGGCTGAGGGAAGAGAATCACTTAAGCCCAAGAGTTTGAGGTTGCTGTGAGCTGTGACACCACAGCACTCTACCAAGGGTGACAAAGTGAGACTCTGTCTCAATAAAAAACAACAACAACAACCAAATGGCCAAAGAACAATTAGGAGTCCAGCTTTGGTAAACTCATACTAGAGGAATCAAAAGTTTGCTTGTAAATACAATTTTACTAGACCAAATTTCAGAGTTCTTTTACCACTGAATCCCTTTCACCTCCAGATTTTGAGATTTTCACATTAGACAGTTTCCTAAAGAAACAGGCAGTGCTCTCTACACAAAGAACTATCACGCAGGAGAACCATGTTACCTCTTGCCTTCAGTTCATCTTCTTCTTCCACCTCTATATCCAGATCTTCAAATACAGCAACCAGAGGAGTTTTTAATGTTGTATTAGTAGGTATTTTAAAATCCTTCATAAAAAAAAGAGAGAGAGAAAGCACACTTGAACAAATCCTTAGGTTAAAAAAAAAACCTTTTTTTTTTTTTTTTTTTTTTTTGGTAGAGACAGTCTCTTTATCGCCCTTGGTAGAGTGCCAGGCTTCACACGGCTCACAGCAACCTCCAACTCCTGGGCTTAGGCGATTCTCCTGCCTCAGCCTCCCGAGTAGCTGAGACTACAGGCGCCCACCACAACACCCGGCTATTTTTTTGTTGCAGTTTGATCGGGACCAGGTTTGAACTTGCCACCCTCAGTAGGTGGGTCCAGCACCCTACTTAGCCACAGGCGCCGCCCCACAAAGCCACTTTTTATATCTGACATTTTTCAATTAGAATCCAACAACTCCAGTGAAATGACAACACATTGCAGCTAAAAAGACCTCCAAAGTACACTGTTGATACACCAGACCTCCAAAGTACACTGTTGATACACACACCAGACCTCCAAAGTACAGTGTTGATACACAAACCAGACCTCCAAAGTAGTGTTGATACACAAACCAGACCTCCAAAGTACACTGTTGATATACACACCAGACCTCCAAAGTACACTGTTGATACACACACCAGACCTCCAAAGTACACTGCTGATATACATTTCATACTGTCTTTTCAAGTTTTCTAACTTTCTATAACAAAAAAGGGCAAAAGTTTTTTTCACCTAACACATTGTCTGTTGACTTCCACAATCTCTCCTGATACTTATTACTATACTTTTCCCCATTTTATGCGTAATAAATAGTTCAAACATTTGTTTTAATAATAACTTTTTTAATTGAGACAGAGTTCTACCCTGTGCCCTGAGCAGAGTGCAATGATGTCGTAGCTCACTGCAACCTCAGACTTGGGCTGTGGGCATCCTGCTGCCTCAGCCTCTGAAGCTGCTGGGATTACAAGCGCTTGCCACAGTGCCTGGCTGGGTTTTCCATTTTTTTTATGAGTCAGGGTCTCACTCTCGCTCAGAAGTCTTGAACTCCTGAGCCCAAGCAATCCTCCTACCTCAGCCTCCCACAGTGTGGGGATTACAGGTGTGAACCACTGCGCCCAGCAATAATAAAATATTCTTTTTTTTTTTTGAGACGGAGCCTCAAGCTGTCCCCCTGGGTAGAGTGCTATGGCATCACTCACAGCAATCTCCAACTCCTAGGCTCAAGCGAGTCTCCTGCCTCTGCCTCCCAAGTAGCTGGGACCACAGGCGCCCGCCACAATGCCCGGCTATTTTTTTGGTTGCAGCTGTCATTGTTGTTTGGCAGGCCCAGGCTGGATTCGAACCCGCCACCTTAGGTGTATGTGGCTGGCATCTTAGCCACAGGCACCTAGCCAATAAAATATTCTAATACTAATTTCTAAGAATTGGCTTAACTCAGAGGTTGCTGGTTACCTGTTGACCAAATACTAACTCACACCTAAAAAACAAATAAACAAAACAGAAACTTTGAGCTAAGTTTAAAAAAATCAGGAGAAGGGGATGGCGCCTGTGGCTCAAAGGAGTAGAGTGTCTGCCCCATATACCAAAGGTGGTGGGTTCAAACCCAGGCCCCAGCCAAAAACTGCAAAAAAAAAAAAAAAAAAAAGAAAAAAGAAAAATTCAGCAGAGGGCACATAAAAACTAGAATTTCTAAGTTCTCTTAAAATAGTAAAAGATCAAAGTATGGGGCAGCACCTGTGGCTTAGTGAGTAGGGTGCCGGCCCCATATACCCAGGGTGGTGGGTTCAAACCCGGCCCCAGCCAACCTGCAACAAAAAAATAGCCAGGCATTGTGGCAGGTGCCTGTAGTCCTAGCTGCTGGGGAGGTTGAGGCAAGAGAATTGCCTAAGCCCAGGAGTTGGAGGTTGTTGTGAGCTATGACTCCACAGCACTCTATCAAGGGCAATAAAATAAGACTCTCTCTCTATTAAAAAAAAAAAAAGATCAAAGCACACTGAACCCATTCAGCAACACCGAAACCAAACAGAAGTGTGCATGTAGCACATACTCTAGTTCTCCAGCTGAGACAGCCTGACTCCACCTTTAAAATGCAGGTATGAGCCGGGCGTTGTGGCGGGCGCCTGTGGTCCCAGCTACTTGGGAGGCAGAGGCAGGAGACTTGCTTGAGCCCAGGAGTTGGAGGTTGCTGTGAGCTGTAATGCCATGGCACTCTACCCAGGGGGACAGCTTGAGGCTCTGTCTCAAAAAAAAATAAAATAAAATAAAATAAAATAAAATGCAGGTATGTGCACTTACATTCACCCAGCAAATACCTTTATGTTCCTGACATCTGCAGATACTGGACATTTCAGCAGGTCTCATATCCTCACTTTGATTTTATAAAGATGGAACATGCTTATATCTGAAAAATCTTATTAGTGACATTTGCATGGTTTCCAATATTTGGCTACCTTACAAATAATGCTGTAGTGAATTGAGTTCAGATAGCCTATAAACTTTGTACTTCTAAAGAAATCTGAGTAACTTTTTTCTTCTGAATAATTTCTTAACAATGTGATTATAAGGAAGTTGCATGAATTAAGTTCATGCTTTTTACATGTTAACATCTTTATAAGTCACCAGAAAATTATCTACAAGCCATCATAAAAGTGTTACTAGCCTTATTCTATATTCCATAGAATATAGAATATATATTCCATTCTATATCAGATTCAACATTAGAATTTGCAATCTTTATCTCTTCTGGCAGGAATGGCAACAGATAACTTATTTAACTTTTCGTTTTATGTAATTAAACTTTTAGTCATCATAGCATACTTTAGTTAATAATGTAAGAGGACTCAAGAAAACTTCGATTTTCATACCATCAGGACTTTTGAAAAAGATTGAACACATTTGCGAATGACAAACAGCTACCAGTGGGAGAAAGGAACGGTGATGGTTTACTCAACCATGAAGCAGAAATGCAACTCCTTGTCTAAAATCTAGCCACTTTAAGTTGCATGTGTGAAGCAGGCAAATTTACTATCACAAATGTCTACCATCAGGAATAGCTACTATCAGAATGGTATACTATATAAAGACACAAGAGAAAAATCAGAGAGCTGGCTTAGCACCTGTAGCTCAAGCAGCTACGACGACAGTCACATACACCAGAGCTGGTGGGTTCGAATCCAGACTGGGCCTGACAAACAACAAAGACAACTACAACCAAAAAATAGCCAGGCATTGTGGAAGGCGCCTATAGTCCCAGCTACTTGGGAGGCTGAAACAAGAAAATCGCTTAAGCCCAGAAGTTGGACATTGCCGTGAGCTGTGATGCCACGGCACTCTGCCCAGGGCGACAGCTTGAGGCTCTGTCTCCAAAAAAAAAAAAAAGAAAAGAAAAATCAGAGAGCTGGTATCAAGGACCAAGTATAGAAATACATGTGATCTGTGTATCACACATGAGAAAGAAAATCTGTGATTAATCAGATCAAATTCTAACTCTAAGCCAACTATTCTAATTTCTTCATTTCCATTCTCCTATTATCGTTTTTTAAGAGACAGGGTCTCACTTTGTCATCCAGGCTACTGTGCAGTGGCATGATTTTAGCCCACTGCAGCCTCAAACTCCTGGGCTCCAGCAATTCTGCCTCAGCCTCCCAAGTAGCAGGGATTATAGGTACATGGCACTATGTCAGCTAATATTTTTTTAGAGGTGGGGGTCTCACTATGTTGTCCAGGCAGGCCTCCAACTAATTACCTCAAGAGAGCCTGCCACAATGGCCTCCCAAAGTGCTGGGATTATACGCATGAGCTACCACACCCGCCCTTTTTTCCTATTTTCATGACTAGAGAATTCTAAAATTAAGTAATCAATTTTACAAGCAAGACTATACATGTTCTACAAGCCTCTTGATCCAAAGGGAGGAAAAATCTTTATTAAAGACTAATGCTAAGCTTTATTATATTCTATCTGGTTTTCAATAATTAGTAAAATATTCTCAGTAATACAAAAGGGAGTGGAGAGAGGAGGGAATGAGGGAATGAAAGCTGAATTAGTACCTGCCACTTCTATCGAAGAAGTCCTACCCTGTCTCCTTCAATCATACTTACCAGAAAAAGATAAAGGACGACTTAAACTGTGCTTTTTGTAAAACTCATGACATAAAGAAATAAATAAATATTGGCTCAGCGCCTGCAGCTCAGCAGCAAAGGTCACCAGCCACATACACTAGAGCTGGTGGGTTTGAATCCAGCCCGGGCCTACCAACCAGCAATGACAACTATAACCAAAAATAGTCAAGTATTATACAGGGTGCTTGTAGTCCCTGTTACTTGGGAGGATAAGGCAACAGACTCACTTAAGCCCAAGCGTTTGATGCTGCTTTGAGCTGTAATGCCACAGCACTCTACCCAGGGTGATAGCTTAAGACTCTGTTTCCAACAAATAAATAAATAAAATTCATGAGATGCTCTTCCATCTTCAGACAGGGGCTTTGATCTCACCCTAATCTATCACTCTATACCACCCAAGAAAGGAGAGCAGAATGCTTTTTTTTTTTTTTTTTAAGAGACAGAATCTCCCTTTGTCGCCCTCCATAGAGTTCAGTGAAGTCACAGCTCACAGCAACCTCTAGCTCTTGGGGTTAGACTATTCTCTTGCCTCAGCCTCCGGAGTAGCTAGGACTATAGGCACCTGCCACAATACCTGGCTTTTTGTTGTTGTTGCAATTTGGCTGGGGCTGGGTTCCAACCCACCACCCTCAGTATATGAGGCCAGCGCCCTATTCACTGACTGAGCCACAGGCACTGCCCCATGAGTGCTTCATTTATGGGGAAAAAGGCACATTACAAAATTTTTTTTCATGAAAAAAATCGTTTAGGCCTGGCGCCTGTAGCTCAGCGACTACGGCACTGGCCACATATACCAGAATTGGTGGGTTCAAACTCAGCCAGGGCCTGCCAAACAACAATGACAACTACAACCAAAAAATAGCCAGGTGGGCGGCGCCTGGGGTAGAGCACTGGTGCTGGCCACATATACCAAGGGTGGTAGGTTCCTGGCCAAACTGCAACAAAAAAATAGCTGGGTGTTGTGGCAGATGCCTGTAGTCCCAGCTACTCGGGAGGCTGAGGCAAGAGAATCACCTAAGCCCAGGAGTTGGAGGTTGCT